TTTATAGAAGAGGGGGCAAACGAGCATGCGGCTCACCTGATGTTTAGTGACTACCGCCGCCCATGATCAACCGCAACACCAGGCGAATCGCAGGTGCGTTGCCGGCCCTTTAGAAAAGAGAAAGCTTTTCTTGAAGGTCCCCAGGTCGTAGCCGTCCCGAAAAAACGCCGGTGGTAAACTATTCCACAGAGAGGTCGTACACGGAAGAAAACTCCTTGTGATACGTACAGTGGTGGACCGCCAAGCATCCAGATGGTGTGGATGGTATCGGGACGTTTGCCGCGTAGTGCGTTCACGAAATTTGGCGGCTGGGATTTATCCGAACAATTCCTCAGAGCACTCCCCATGGTATGCGAAAGAAAATGCGACAGCGAAAAGAGATGCAACATCTCTTCGCAGCGCCAGTGAATCGAGCCGATTGGAAAGCACTCGATCGTCGACGATTCGAGCCGCTCTGCGCTGGATGCGATCAAGTGGAAGAAGCTGGTACTGGGGAGCTCCAGCCCAGAGATGGGAACAATATTCCATGTGCGGCCGAACCTGCGCTTGTAAAGTTGCAGGCGGTATACCGGCATGAAATACTGTGCCGCTCTGCTGAGCACGGCAAGCTTTTTTAGAGGCCAATTTGGCCTTCTCTTCCAAGTGACCACGAAACTGCACGTCACTTGATATGTCGACGCCGAGGATTCCGATACTGGCTGAGTCAACAAGGAGAGTGTCTCGAAACCGAGGAGATACGACAAAGGGGTTCTTTTTAGCGGTTAACGCGCAAACTTGTGTCTTCTGAGGGTTAAACTGGACTAGATTTAGTCGCCCCCAATCCGAGACTCTGTTTAGCAAAGACTCGACTTCAGACACAAGTTTATCCCGGTTCTCGGAGACGTTTTCCCGAGAAATATTGGCATGGCCGGTGTACAGAGCATCACCAGTGCTGTCATCTGCATAGCAATGAATGTTACGGGTTTGCAACATATCATTTATATGCAGAAGAAACCACGTTGGCGATAGCAAGCTGCCTTGTGGAACAACAGCATTAATAGGCTTGTAATCGGAGCTTGCACTGTCTACAACGACTTTGATGATGATTCCGTCAGGCCCACTCGACTTGTGGATGTCCAGAGAGAGGAGTGCTTGGCGAAACGAGCGCTGTGTGAACTGCACTTCCGACATGGAGCACTCACACCACGCAATGGTCGGCGGCGTACTCCCCCAGTCATCGAGAGTCGAGTTGGACGCAAAAAAAGCCTAGCAGATCGGCTTTCTTCTTAGCGGTATGGGCCAGTGAGTCGTCCTCCCTGTGCAGAGACGGAAGAGATGGCTGACAGAAATTCCCCTGGACATCCTTGGCGAGAGATAAGAATGCACGGGCTCCAGAAGGAAGGCGAACTAGTTTCTCGCCAATTCTGCCTATGTGCTCTGACTTTGCCTTGGCAATGACTCTTTTGAAGGACTTAGAGGCGGAATTATATTTCTTTTTTAGAGCGCTGGTGTTTACATCCCGGGACTTACACTCCTGCTTATAGCATGATGCTATTTTACAGGAGTGACCAAACCATGTCTGAGATTGGCCTCCGATGGGCACCACAGAGGAAGGAATAAAAAGTTCCATACCCTGAAGTACCACATCAGCTACAGAATCCGCAACAATGTTAGGATCATCCGGCGAGAAGCAAACCCAAGGGTAGGATGCAAAGAAATACCGCATCCTACCCCAATCGGCTGACCTATAGTGCCAAACACGGCGGCAGCCTGCTGAATGCACCTGCGATTTCAGCGTGAGTGAGAGTGAACACCACACTCCGGACAAGACAATGGTCCGAGGAGCCTAAAGGGGCGTCGATGGAAATCTGATATCCGTCCGGGTGAGAGGTCAGCAGAAGGTCCAACAGATTTATTGAATATAAAATATATTAGGTACCAATATTCAAAATTTAACTTACACTAAGTTCTTTAGACAAAAATGAAACAGAAATAAAAATAAAACCGTCAAAAAACGAAACGTATTAATGAACTAGACGCGTGACGCCGAAATCCCGGAATACACATGGGAAAAAGGAAACATGAAACGTTAACGTGATATAATTTTTTTAAAATAGTATAATTTTAATTTCCATGTACAATATTTTTGAGGATCTGAATCCAATCCTGGCCTAATCTTGGTAACGTAACTAAACTAACTGTAAAATAAAACTTTAAAAATGCGTTTATATAATAATTTCATTGTAACAAAATTAATATAAGTTTATTTACTGATGATACGATATCCCATGTTTTTTTTGAGTCTTTGTTTCGTTTTTTTTTAAATATGGCAACCTAACAATTACTGCCAACCTCCAGTCAATAAAAATACTTGTAACTTGAAATGAAACGACGGACAATCTAAAGAGAAACTACGATTCTGATTAAAAACCGAAATCATAATGTTAAGAACCATAGAATACTATAATAATGAATCATGAAATGACTTGTACTGAAGTATATTAAATAATTGATGGATGTTAGGTTGAATTAAAATAATACTAAACTCAATGCCACATTTAAAATAATAAGTATTACCAAATAAAGACGATTGATTGCTAAATAATGAATAAAATTTTATAAACTAATATTATTTAAATCTAAAAATTCCATAAGACAATTGAAAACATTTTTACAATTTGAAAACATTTTTACAATTTTACAATTTAAAAATATTTTAAGAAATTTCTGTAGGAAGAGGAATTTTAAGATTTACCAAAGTGTTAAATAATGAAGTATGATCATATAAAGGACACGAGAAGAAAATATGGTTGAGGTCGCCAATATCCAAACCACATTCACATATTGAAGAATTTTTAATATGAAGCCTAGCAAGGTGAACCGAATTACATCAGTGACCCAAGCGCATTCTACATAACATTGATGTATGTTTCTTATTTAAGGATAATTTATAAAACCAAGGCTTAGAAGGAATGATGGGTTGAATTTTGGCATAGTGACAGCCTTTTGTCGTTTTGGTTTTGTTCCATTGTTTTGACCATCTATCTCTATATACTAATTTCGTAGTTCTTATAAGGTCATAGCAATAGTTTTTAAATAAGAAAGTATCCCCACAGATTATAGCTTGTTTAGCAAGTTTGTCAGCATATTCATTACCAGATATACCAATATGACTCGGAATCCAAACGAGAGAAATGTTGATGTTTTGGAATTGGTATAAGAATAGAAGTTTCTTAATTTCAAATATCAAAAGATTGCAGGAAATGTCCCAGAAAGGATTACATAACAATGCTTGTAAAGAACTAAGAGAATCTGAAAATATCACGCTTGATTTTAATTTAAAAAGATAGCAATATTTTATTGATTGTAAAATGGATAACATTTCTCCAGTAAAAACTGAAGATTCGGGAGGACTTTTCATTTTTTGAACTATTCTCCAATTTTGATGGTATATTGCATATCCAGTACAACCTTTTGAGTTAATCTTAGAAGCATCTGTAAATATATAATGACAATCTGGGAAATTCTTGTATAACGTAAATACAATTTTTTTATTTTATTCAATAGAAAATTTATTTAATCCTATATCTAATATAACATTGGGTTTGAAAAGTGCAACTTCAAACGAATTGGAGAAAAGAGGCAGACTCGCCGACCTATAAATAGGATCTAGTAAGGAATTATAATGTTCATAGCTTTTAACTAGGTTAGGAGTTTCTTTATTACGCCAGTATTTTCCTGAATTAATTGAAATGTACTGAGAAAGCAAACGAATTTTAGGGAGTAATGGATGGTTTGAAAATTGAAGAACCAGATGAAAAAAGGAATCCGACAAATATTGTCGTCTAATAAAAAGTGGAGGATCACCGCATTCAATCTGCTAGGCATTGATAGGCGACGAATTCATAGCGCCTATAATTAATCTTAAAGACTTGTGTTGAATGATATCTAATATTTTTAATCCTTTTTTACTAGCTGGTTCAAGAAGAAATGAGGCATAATCTAATCGGCTTCTTATAATTGCATTATAAATTAATTTTAAATAATATGGATGAGCGCCCCACCATACCCCGCACAAAGCTCTAAGAATGTTTATATTTTTTTCGCATTTTTTTGGGTATAAATGATATGAGGCATGCCGGATAATTTATTATCAAGAATTACACCAAGGAATTGAACTTGTTGAACATTTACGAGCGGATTATCAAAAAGGCGAACTTGGATTTCAGGTAAAACTCTTTTGCGCGAAAAAATTACTGTATTACTTTTATTTGGGGAAAGTTCTAGTCCATGATCATCTAACCAAGAGGCCATAGAGAGGAGATCTTGTTCTATCGCATTAGCACAAGATTCTATACATTTATCATTAACATAAACTAAGATATCATCAGCATATTGCAAAATTCTACACTTTGAAATAGACTGGTCCAAATCTAACGTATAAATATTGTATAATAAAGGACTTAAAACAGAGCCTTGTGGAAGGCCTTTGAAAACCTTTCGAGTATATTTTAGATCATCATCAATTTTAATATGTATATATCGATCTAGAAATAAATTGATAATCAAATTTGTAAGTTTTTTGGATATATAAAGCTTAAACATCTTTTCTCTAAGGATGTTGAGTCTGACATTATCGTAAGCAGAAGAAATGTCAAGGAAAGCAGCAAGGACCGATTCATTTCTCGAAAATGCTAGTCTAATATCTGTGGTGAAGATAGAAAGACTGTCATATGTGTTTTTACCTTTTCTGAATCCATATTGGGTATTTGATAACAATCCATGACTTTCTACATACCATTCAAGACGGTTCTTGATCATATGTTCAAAGGTTTTTATTAGAGTTGAGGATAGAGCGATCGGTCTATAAGAAGAGCCGTCGTTAGCATTTTTGTCAGGTTTCAACATAGGAATAATTACTTGAGTCCGCCAACAGTCAGGAACAAAGCCTATGTCAAATAAAACGTTAATGATATTTAAATAGGATAAAATTTGATCATTACATTTGGCAAGTAGTGAATATGGAATACCGTCTAAACCAGGAGCTGAATCTTGAACGTGAGAAAGGACAAGCTTTAATTCATATAAAGAAAATGGACGTTCTAAGGGATCAAAAAAAGAATCACATGGAATACTTTGAGGTAGCTCCTCTCTCAAAGGAGCAGAAGAGGGGGCAAGTTTATCCAGAAAAGTGTTTATAGATTGAGAGGGAATGGCACCACTGTAAGAACAAGATGAAAAAAAAAACAGCGAAATTTTTTAATATTGCGCCAAACAACTGATGAAGGTATTGAAGAAGAAATTGAGGAACAAAAGGCATGCCAACGTGTTTGTTTTTTGTGCGAAGAGTATTTTTAGTCACTTCTTGTACACGTTGAAGGTATGAATAGTTTTCCGACCTCATGTCTAATTTATATTGTTTTTCGGCTTTTTTCCTATTACGAATGGCCTCAGTACATTCAGAATCCCACCATGGAGGGGAGGGCCTACATTTATTATTTAGAGTTTTAACAGGAATTGTTTGATCTGCTGCATTTATAACTGCGTTTATAAATGCTTCAACAATAGAAGTTACATTATTTTCAGAAATAGGAGCGATTTTTAGAATTTCATTGTAAAGAAAAATATTGTACAGGTTCCAGTCTGCTCTGTCTAATTTGTATTTAATACATGGTTTTTTGTTAATTTCTGCCAATTCTTTGTTCGGAAAGGAAATCAGAATGGGAAAATGGTCACTGCCGTGAGAGCTATCTAGAACTGACCAATTTAGAAGAGTGGTTAAATCAGGAGTACAAATTGATAAATCTACAGCACTTCTAGACTCATTAGGACGAGAGCGTTTGGTAATTTTACCAGTATTAAGGACACCAATGTTAAGTTCGTCAATTATTTCAACTAATAAACTACCATATTTATCAGTATTATCACCCCATAAATAATGATGACAATTAAAGTCACCAAGAATTATAAATGGTTTGGATAGGGAGGCTATCAAAGATTTTATTCTGCGAAACGTATGGACAGAAGGGGAGGGAACATAAATAGAAACGATAGTAATATTTTGAATTCTTACTGCTACAATATTAAAGTCAAATATTTCATCATAAACATCTATAATGGAATAAGTTATATTATTTTTTATAAGCAAAGCACATCCGGCATAATCATCAGATCTGTCACTTCGAACAAGACAAAAACCAGGTACTCTGATGTTCGAATCCGGTTTTAGCCATGTCTCTGAAATAGCAGCGATACACACATTGTATTAATAAATAGATTATTTCAGTACGTTTATCTAAAATGCTTCTACAATTACATTGAAGGATCTTTGTGAGAGTGAATGTCTTGGAGAATTTTAGGTATAGAATTTAGTAAGCGAGCAACGTGGGACGGTAGCTTCGACGAATACGAAGATATGATTATGTTAATAAGGAAACTTGTAATGCTTTCTACAGAATCAAAATTACCCTGTGAAGTAACTGGTAAAACCCGAAGAGCACAACCATCCTCAGGTTGCGGAATTGAAAAATCTTCAATAATTTTTTGATGACTTTTTTTGTCGTATCCTGTTTGTGAATGGTGACGTAATGGTTTAGGAATATATAATGATTTCTTATAAGAAGTTTTATTAGATGTAGCGGGGTTGGAAGGAAAATTATCCATTGTGGGATTAGTAGAAAGCGAAGAATTTTCAGGGATTTTAGAAATCAAAACATCAGCATATGATTTTGAAGAAACTTGAGGATATTTTTGAGATGCTTCTAGGTATGAGATAGAATATTGTGCCATTTAAATTTTAATATTATTTTGTCTTGTTGTTCAGGACATCTCGAATCTGTGGCTTTGTGGTTACCTGAGCAAAATAAGCAACGAAAAGATCCATTATCTTTGTCGCAAGAAGAAGAGGAGTGATCACCTCCACATTTTGAGCATCTTGGCTTGGAACGACATAAATCTTTAGTATGTCCAAATCTGCAGCACTGAAAGCATTGGATCGTTGGAAGCTTATAAATTTCAACAGGAATGGAAGAATAGCATAAATAATCCCCCTCGAGGGAAGAATTTGACCGTCAAATGTGATTACGACACTTTCAGAGCTTTCATATCTGACTTTGTCCTCGTTGCGAACTCGGTAATTTAATCTTCTTACTTTTAATACAGGAATGGTGTTTGGATACGTAGATAATTCGGAAATAATCTCTTCTGGTGTCCAATCTTTTGGTACACCTTTTATAACTCCCATACGAGATACGTGAAAGGATGGAATAAAGGTTTTATATTTATCATTTACGGATGGATTTTCTAAAAAAAAATTTGCATCAATAAATTTAGAGAATTCAACCGTTATTCTATTTCTCCCGATACGTTTTAGGCCTCCATTAACTATATTTTGTACATTTAATATTTTCAAAAAGTGACCAAATGAAATGGCATTTAAAGTTACCAGAATTAGGAGAATCTTCTTTTACTTGAACATGAACGATAAAAGGACCTGAATCTGTAGAATTATAAGAACGAAGAGATTGAAATCTTTGTGGCTCTATTTTTTTATTATCGCTTTCAATTTGTGTGTTAAGAGATTTAGAGGCGATATAACAATTGGCAGAATTTAATGTTTGTGATAGAGGAATGCCAGATGATTGTGAAAGAGGGATTTCAGATGATTGTGTACAAGCAATATTGGATGATAAAGACATGGGAGATTCATAGGCATGTTGTCCTGACATATTGCTTTTGATAGAGTTAGAGCCTACAATTTTAATTTTAGATGATGAAGTATTACCAGTATCGCAGTCCGATTCTGAGAATGAGGAATTGAGGTGGAAAAAGCTGAAATTCTTCTATTTATGTCAACCCGATTAGCATGCTCTTCTTTCTTCCTTTCCTTCGTTTTATGTTTTCTTTTCTTTTTGTTTGAAATAATTTTGAAGTTGTCATCAAAAAATTCTTGCGATAATGACTGCCGTGGTTTTTTAAATGAACCTTCTAAATCATTTTCAATTTCAACATAAGCTGGGTGCAGCTGGGGTTCAGCACCGGGGTGAGGAAATAATGTTAGTGTCAGAATAATTCGGATCCGATGCGGCGGAATCTTAGGCGGAATTGGATTAGACATGGCGACCGAGAGACTAAAGCTACGTTAAACTGTTTTGTGATAGTATGAAATTGTCGCTAAATGAGATACAATATGAAAATGCAGATAAATATTATTAATATATACTAAAATATATAAGGAATGTAATCAGAATATTACAAGAAAACTTAAAATAATTAAAATGACACCAAAAACGCGCAAAACCGTTATTGACGTTCAGTTGACAATGAAAGTTCTCTTGATTCCGAATATAGTCCTTTGTTTCGTTATTTTGCATTCTTTTACCACGCAACTAGACATATTTATGACAGGCAAATCTGTCCTGCGCGCGCACTACTGTCGACCGATTCGCGTTGGCCCTAAACTGTAATTTTAGGGCCAGCGCACTGGTCCGTTTTAGTTGTTCGGTCGGCCCGGTCCTTACGGTAGTAATATATAAGTCAATGTACAGGGTACATTTTATAACAAAGCGTTTGCAGCTTTGTGTCATTGTCAAACATAAATGTTAAACAAATTTATAATTAACTAAATTAAATTCCAATTGAACGCAATGAAAAGGTACTTATGTGAAACATTTTCGTGTAAGTTCACACGCATCGTTTGTAACCTATATTTTCCTTTAGCTACACTCGCTTTTTAAGACCTTGCATGACGGATATCATTATATGGTTCAATCCCTTTATTGAAAAGCCTTGAAAAGGAAAAAATCAATGGTTTTATTGAAACGCCCTGAAAAGGAAAACAGATTTAATTAACTGAATGGTCTATTATGCAGTAATAAATTGGTTTAAAACAGTACCAACCAACCAACACAGTGATTTGATTGCGATTTAAAAAACCTTAATTGCAATAAAAAAATTAACTAAAAAACATTTTTTTTTAAATGAAAATTGAAGTGACCACCGAAATTAAAGTGTGTGGCTAGCCAACTCGAAACAAAGAAAGCTGCATTTGTGGACTAAAGTTATTATTTATTTATTTTGAGAACAAAGTAGAATGCCTTAAATTGGTGCGGGCGAGAAATGAACCTGGGTTACTCGTGTACCGTAGAATTTATGGAGAGCGCTTAGTTCCTATGCTCCACGGCTCTATTATTAATTCTAAATTCAAGATTATAATACTGATATTATTGATCTTACAGAATAACACTTAATAATAGTTTGTTTCTTTATAAATCTACGAGTATTGTTTAGTTGTCTTGTTAAAAAAGACGAATTCCGTACATTGAATAACAGGGGGCTAAGTTTTGTATATCGATGGGGCTAGTCTAAAATAAATGTGACATCTTGCAACGCACTTTAAAGCACTAAAACATGATTGAAATTTTTTATAGTTTGTTTCTTTATATATAGATTGTCTTGTTAAAAAAGACGAATTCCGTAATTGAATACAGGGGCTAGTTTTGTATATTGGGGTAGTTAAAATTGCAACGCACTTTAAAGCATAAAAATGATTGATTTTTTTAAGTACACGTTTAAAAGACTAGTTCGGCAACACTATCTTGAGGAAAACTCCATTTGACCTTCTATTTCTATCTTTATATTTATTTATAATATATATATATATATATATATATATATATATATATATATATATATATATATATATATATAAATATATATGTATATTAGTATGTGTATGCATGTATATTTATTTACAATATATGTTTTAGCACCTACCAACTATTACATGTCAAATTCTCCCAGGGTAGAGAATGGCATAAGGCTTTAAAACCGCCCATTGTAACCCTTAGATTAAGGTGTAAAATAATAAAGATTAAATAAATATATAAATAAATAATGTTAAAATTCAACGATGGATTTGTGGGAAGTCTGAAAAGTACTCATGTTATGTAGGTTCGTGTAAATAAATAAATAATTTTTTCCACGTTGTAGCGGCGCACTACGGGACCAAACGGTGCGTTCCGTTTAAAAATCTATAACTCTTTTGTTTCCTGACATTTTGAATTAAAAATATCTATACGTATTTCTGAATACTTATGTTATTAGATAATTAAAACATCGCCGCTATACAAGCTTTATTTATTTAGTAAATAAGACAAAACTATAATTTTGAAAATTTTCATACGAAAATTACATTAAAAAAATTATTAAAATAGTTCTCACACGCATGCTATAACTAATACTGATTATAATTATCACAACAAATAAGAAGTACGCAACATCGTTTTTATTATACGTGTGGTTAAAATGATCAACGCAAAAAAAATCTTGTGAAAATATTTTTCCATATATTAAATACCTATGATATTTTGTGCTTACTTGTTAAATAGAAAGTATTTTACTGTAAATAAACAATAACAAGTGTATTGTTGTATGCACAAATGTCATAAATAGGTGCAAATAACGAGAATCATGAGTTTTTTCCTCGCTCGACATTTTTGCGTCTAGCTCAAAATGGTGCGCTAATGACGGAAGTTTTCTATTTCCTTGTATTATTGAATAGTTAACGAATCTAAAAATGTCATTACCTCCACATCGGCAGCTATCGGTAAGAAAAGTAAAAAAGTAAATTTACAGCCCATATACGTCCCACTGCTGGGCACAGGCCTCCCCTCATTTCTGAAGGGGGTTTTAGGGCAAGGAAGTGTCCGCCGCGCTGCCCCAATGTCATGTGAAGTTGGCGAACTTCACGTCATGTGAAGTTCGAAATATATTTTTTTCTCTTATTTCTCAGACATGCAGGTTTCCTCACGATGTTTTCCTTCACCGCCGAGCACGTGGTAAATCAGCACTTAAAATTACAATTAACAATTTCATTGGTGCCGGCGGGGATTGAACCCGGGTTACTCGCGTTCTGTTATATTTACAGCGAGCGTTAACCATCTGAGCTACCACGGCTCACCTACTACTATCGGTAACAAGGAAACCTCAAATTGAAAATGTAAAAGACGGCAATTTTCTTTATGACATTTAAAAATAAAAATTAAATAAAAAAATCTTATAAGCATAACGTACTTGTAAACTAAAGATTTTCAGCAATCCAAAATTGTATGACACATATATTTCCTTGAAGAACTTAGAAAATATCTTAAGTTAAGCTTCCATAATGAGTAATCTAATTAATTATACGTAGAACTCACCATATTTTTTACTATTATATTAGATAGCTCTATTTTCTCAGAATATAAATCAGTCAAAAAAGTTTCAGTAATCTGACTTTCGTACCATAGTGCGTCGCGGAGAAAGAGAATCATCCACTACTTCTACGGGATGATCACGTCGGTGTCATAATAGGCAACTGGGGAATTGAAATAGTTTTCAATGTCCATCTAGGGCAGCAGCATCTTTCTGATAACTACTGAAAAAAAATGCGATTGTCAACTGGATACTCCCAAGCGTGGCAACTATGGTAACTATATGGCAATCTATACGAGGAAGGCTTACGGCGACTTAAGGCGTTCAGCAGTAGACTTTTGATAATGTAATGAATAATGAATCATCATCATGTCCGCAGTGTGGTGGGGCGTTAGATGATGGATGAATAATGAATTAATTAAGTAAATTATGTTCTTTTTTATCAAACTGAAATTGCTTTAAAACATGAGAGATAATATTTTTTGAGTAATCTGTCGTGCTGTGTTTTTATTATGAGAATTTTTATTATGCGTGCGTGCGTGCGAGCGTGCGTGCGTGCGTGCATGCGTGGTGCGTGCGTGCGTGCGTGCGTGCGTGCGTGTGTGTGTGTGTGTGTGTGTGTGTGTGTGTGTGTGTGTGTGTGTGTGTGTGTGTGTGTGTGTGTGTTTTTATTTGCATGTTTGTTAATGTGTTTTATACTAATATCGATTCAGTTTGTTCATAATCTAATCCTAATAGCCAATTCTTAATTTTAATTTTCACTTTTCT